AGTTGTATCTTGACTTGTTGTATTTGACTGAGGTTGTTTATTTGTATAGTGTCTTACTTCTGAATAGTATTCATTGATTTTTGTTGATTGATGAAACTGATCTAAATTTAAATTGTCAGACTCGAGTTTGTCCTCTGGAGGTCAGGATGGTGAGCTTTCTTGTGTGCTTCAAAACACAGCTGAAGTCTCGCCTCATTTCAAAGTGTTTTGTTTCATTATCGTTCACTGCAGAAAGGAGAAGCGATGATGTTTTTATCTCTGCATGTGTGCAGTGGCTTGTTAACAAAACATCTCATAAACCACTGGCCAAATATTAAAGAAACATCAGAGAGTAATCAGTGAATGTACATCTGCAACTGATAAGCATTTGGAGTCACCTGATACAAGATTATAACTACAGTCAACTGAACTAAAAAAATTAAAATCCTATAATTGCATAATTTTATATTGAGCTAAAACTTTGAATGGTTGTAGCTGATATTCATCACAACATTTACTCCAAGTGCTGCTCACTGTGCTAAAACTTTGATGAAAAAGTTAGAATTGGAGTCAATCCTGCCTTGTGAACCACTGGACAGTTTTAAATGAAACTGGCAGGAAGTAATCATTGTGACATGTACCTTCTTCAAATACAAAAAGTCAAAGAAAACATTTTATATTTAAGAAACTTGGCATAATACATGATTTTACCAATTTTGTCACATAACTGTTATATTTTCTTTTGAACTTGGCTCAGCCAAAGTGAAACAGGAAATGACATCAAAGGGGAACTCTAAGAAATAAAACTTCCTGCTCTTTGTTTATTAAAACATTTATTATTTGAACTCTTCTTCACCTCTCTGATAGACTCAAACTAATCTAAAGAAACATCAGATTCTTCTCTACAGTCTGTGTTGTTAGCTGTTGTAGCAGCACTCTGTTCACATGCAGACATTCCCCTTTGACATCACTTCCTGTTACTTCACATGTGTGTATCTCAACAACTGTTCATCTTAGCAGCGTGAAATTATTTCTGCAACATTTTGTCATTGCTATTTTGCCAAAAATGTCCGTCCGTTTTCTGCCGCTTATCCGAGGTCGGGTTGTGGGGGCAGCAGCCTAAGCAGAGAGACCCAGACTTCCCTCTCCCCAGACACTTGGGTCAGCTCGTCCGGGGGAATCCCAAGGCGTTCCCAGGCCAGCTGAGAAACATAGTCCCTCCATCATGTCCTGGGTCTTCCTCTGGGCCTCCTCCCAGTGGGACGTGCCTGGAACACCTCACCAGGAAGGCGTCCAGGAGGCATCCTAACCAGATGAACCATCTCATCTGGCTCCTCTCGACGTGGAGGAGCAGCGGCTCTACTCTGAGTCCCTCCTGGATGACTGAGCTTCTCACCCTATCTCTAAGGGAGAGCCCAGACACCCTGTGGAGGAAACTCATTTCSGCCGCTTGTATCCGTGATCTCGTTCTTTCAGTCACTACCCAAAGCTCGTGACCATGGATGAGGATAGGAACGTAGACCAACTGGTAAATCCAGAGCTTCACCTTCTGGCTCAACTCTTGCTTCACTACGACAGACCGGTACAGCGCCTGCATCACTGCAGACGCAGCACCAATCCACCAGTCCAAATGAGGGAAAAATGGAGCCAAAAATGTTTTTACAATTATTACAAAATATTGACGTCACAGGCAATTTAAATGTACAACTGATTCATTTTTGGAGTCACTTCCATCGAAGACGGATTCCACAGATAACTGACCATAAAAAAAAAATCACAAAAATTGATATACACTCACCGGCCACTTTATTAGGTACACCTGTCCAACTGCTCGTTAACACTTAATTTCTAATCAGCCAATCGCATGGCGGCAACTC